TCCTGGATCTCTACAGGGTCCCTTTTGTGTTCACCTCCATTAGAAATGATCATTTTCCTTATGTTTCATTTTTGTCCTGGTCAGATCTCCCTAACCACTAACTTACAGAATAGTTCTCCGTCCACACTAATTGTCATTTGGAGTTGAATTTTCTTTGGCTGCATTTCTAATGCTCTAATAATCTTTTTTATTCCTTCTTTTGTCTACACAGTGCAACTTAACAGACAGACACTATAACACAGGGATTACAAGCATGGCTTTCTAGGTCCCGTTTCCTTATTCAGTCCCAGCTCTACCATGGTTACATGATCTTCCTATGACTTAGTTTTACTTCTAGAATTTGGAAAAGTTGTAACAGAATCTCAAATATCTCAAAGTTTAATGAGTATTGGAGTCAGAAAAAGGGCAACATGTTTAAGGAACTGAAGAGGGGGAGGTTTCCATTTGTACAACTAACTAGCTAACAAATTTTCCTAAAGCCATCTATGCTGATCCTAACTTTATGAACTACAGACAACTAAACCCTCTCATGGCTTTATGTAGCAGTTGAAAATGTGTGTGGTGTTCAGTGACTTAGTGGCTGCTTCTCCTATCTACATAATGATTGCTTTTATCTGATGTGTACCTGAAAATTTGTGATGCTGTCTGATAGAAGTGAAAAGTTTGATAGATTGGTAACATAGAAAGTTTGTGTTCAAAACTATTGGATATTAGCAACTACTTTTTGTCAACTTGTGAATAATTAAAATATTTAAATTTTTAATTAAATTTTCTTATTTGAATAACTTTTGCATTTTCCCCTCTCCCAACTCTTCCCATATCCCCACGCCTTCCTATCCACTAACTTCACGTTCTTTCATTCTCCCCCCATAACCTCCTGCCTCGATCTCTCAGAAGTTCACCAAACAAACACACATCAAAATACAGACACCATGGGATCCCACCACTAACCAAGAAACGACTGGAAATTGATACTTGCAGGCAAAGGGGAAACCAGTTTCCTCCAGTGGAGTGTCACTGCGTTTAACAACTTCACTCGAGGCAGGCCCTATGCCAGGAGTAGTTAGCCCACAAAATGAACTCCCTGGTTTTAGTCGGTTTGTTTTTTGACATTTGATTAACTTTGTTTTGTCATTTTTCATCTTAAAAACTATTTTTTAGTTAAATTACCCATATTTCCAACTTTTAGATTTTATTCACCACTTTGCTTCTCATGAAGTGACAGAGTCAGTGTGAACACTAGGTTTTCATTAAAAAGGTTTTCAGTAAGTGAATGAATATATCTGTCATAACTTCATATTAATGATATGAGGAAAATTGTCCAGCACATTAGCTTTTCTTTTTCTGTTCCTTCCATTCTTTCACTGGTTGTAAGAACACATAGAACATCTAAGTCCACACCCATAATAGTTTTAAAATGTAGTCTCACCTTGGGATCTTATGAATTTGAAAGTGAAATATGGATAATGATGAAATTTTACATATTGTATAACTGAAAAATATCTACAACTCCTATTCCTTGCCTTAGATAATGAGCCAAGCTGTGATTGAGAAAATACTTCTTTTTCAAAATCTATTCTATTCAAAAACTAGTGTACCAAAAAATAAAATGCAAACTCTAATTGAGAAGCTGTAAAGTAGATATAATTATGTTTTCAAAGAATATGCATGCATTATAGCATCCTTCCTTCTAGAATGCTCTATCTTTTCACTACTTTTTCTAATTAAAACTATTTAAAAATAAACCTTGCCCACATTCCTGACCGAAGATACCGGCTGAATTAAAGTCATTGCAGGTGAACACCATCATTCAAAGGGCACTATGTGGTTGCACCTCTCAGCTGGCGAGATGACTGTTTGCATGTTTTAACCAGATTCCAGACTGGAACAAGTGTGGTGAAAATCAACACGCACTCATCCCTGTGGAAACTGGCGAAGCAGCAGATGCTGCTGCTGGAAATAGCTGGGACTTCTGCATCTTTGGATGAAAAAACATTTTGTGAAAAAAAAAAAAAGATTTGCTTCATGCATTGACTCACAGATTAAAAAGGGTATATGTTATTGTTTAATGTGTTTTATTCTAGCAGCATTGTAAATTTAGAATGGTAAATGCAATGCAGATAACCTCTTTGGTATTTCCTATAGCTAATCCTTTATTTACCCTAGACCAAGGTCATGTATTCAATCTAATTCACTGTTCACTAGAATAACAGGTCTGGGAGCTTTTGAGGTGAAAATGGCAAATGCTTGATGTTATTATAAATCTTTAATTAAACTGTCAGACGATCATTAACTCTGTAATTGTCCATTGTTTCTATTGGAAGAGAGAGTGCCTGCATAAGTCACAAACAGTGGGCAGGATATGTTTAAAAATGGCATAACCACATGACCTAGTGTAAGAATTGCTGTGGAGGTGGAGTAGAGAGTGAGAGTAAGGGGTCAACCAGAACACTGGACAGCAGTGGCCTCAATAACGTGCCCTCAACAAAAGATAAATAAGCAAGCAAACCAAAAAGATATTCTCCAATAAGGGTGATCATCAGATGTTGTTTCAGTGTTTACTCTGACTGTTGAAATAATCACACGAAGCTCATGTCTGCTGTTACTTTGAGACTTCTTAATGAAAAGGAGTGTTTACAGAAATCTTGGGACAAACCTAAAAGATGTCACAAGTTCAGAACTCTGACATCCTGAGAATGTGCCTTGACATACAGTTGTACTGAACCATGATTGTGGTAAAAATGGAGTAAGAAAGTTGGGTTGTTCAAAATGAAAATGTGGTTTTAGGGGAAACATCATCACTTAAATGAAAAATACATTCATGGTAGTTTTGTTCCATTGAAATTATACAGAGAGATTTTTGTAACTCCATACCAAATGGTTTCTTTGAGGAGACAGTTAAAGGGCATGCTAATTTTATTTGCTGTATTATATACTATATAGAATATTTGTTTCTTCTGGGTAGCTTATCTTCAAATTTTTCAATAAAAGTGAGTGAATATATCAGTAGAGTCCTTTTTTATCTTTTATGATGAAATAACAATCCAACATTTTCTTAAAAAATATTTAGTAATGGATTATAGATATGTTTACAATACAAAAATGAGTTTCTGCTAGTGTGCACACATAAAACCCAGAAATAATGATTTGAACTGATTTAATTACCTTCACATATGAAAATATAGGGGGGTTGATCCTGGCATGATATTTATTATAAATAGTGATTTTGTCACTGGCCACACTTGTATTATCTTTTCAGCATTGAAGTGATGAATGAGTTTAGACTCTTAACTGAAACATTAAAAAATAGAGAAGAGAAGAGAGGGAGAGCGAGTGAGGGGATAGAAAATGAGAAGATGGGACAAGAGATATTAAAACTATGCTGACATTTTTCTCTTCTGCTTATTAAATCGGTTTCCCAGTAAGTTCAAAAAATTAATGCCTCTGAGGCCTGGGTTACTTATCTTTCTATTTGACAGAGCACATTCCCTTAACAGGGCTGTACAGAGGATAAGGAAGAAGAACCAGGGCACCTAGCACAGTGCCTACCATGACGTGGATGGTTATTTTCTGCATTAGAAAGTTTTAATCCCTTCTGAAAGATGGCATGTCATGATGACTCTGAAGTACCTCGTGATATGTTACTGATAATGCTCATTTGGCAAGATGTTGGAGGGATTCAATGAAGGATCTATCTTTCTTTAACATGGCTTTTCCTATGACAGACTTTAATCCTAATCCTCTGTAAGTACTTGTGTGATTGCTTTTCAGGCAGCAGAAGGGCACAATATTCTTTATTCGTCCTCTGCTATGTTTTGAAACAACAGAGATCACCTGTGTGATGTGAATAATTGAAAGAAGGTGGACCTTGTTCATCAGATAACAATTGTTAAGGGAGAATTATTAGTTTTATGACTTTATATTTTAGTAGCCAATTGGAGAAGTTTGATAGTGAATGTGCAGGAAAGCAATCATTTTACTTCTCACAGAAAATCATATTGTGATTTGTATAAAGCTGAGATTTGATGTGTGATTTTAAATTTTCACTTCATTTTCAAGAGGTGAATATTCAGAGGTTGACTGACTAGACAATAACTTAATGTAAATAAATTATATTAAAGAAAACAACATTGGTTACATCAAAGTAAAATGAGGGACATTATATTCAAGCAACATAATATATAAGTGGCACAATTTTACATCTGATAACCAGCATGACTCCTAGAATTTTTAAAGCAGAAATGGAAAGTGATACATTGCAAGATCCCAAGAAGCTCTTTTGCCATCAAAATTTCTAAAATTTTAACCAATGTTTGACCTTATAGATCTAAAAAGGTAGAGCTACCACAATGATTTACCATCATCCAGAATAGAAATGTTTGGTTTTGTTAATTTAACAAGTACTTTGGGGAAAGATCTTTGGTGTTCCCGCCTCCCCCTGCTTATTGTCACCAACTGAAGAGGAAAAAAATAACTCTTATTTATTGAGAACCAACTGCATGTACTAACTACATGATTTGTTATATTTCTATATTTGACTTTGACTTCTTGCTCACAGCATGAATTTCTTGGTTTGTAGACACTTTACATTACAGGAAACAATTTAGAGTTTCCAATTTCTTTACCTTTACACTCTGGTACAGTTCGCATTCGAAGCCAGATATAGTTGACATATCACATTGCTTCTTAAATGATGGATATGATCATACCATTTCCCCTTCAGCTTCCTCCTATAGATAAATGTGCTAAAGTTATTCAAGGTAGGTTTTAGTCTTGGTTTGTGGATAATGAACCGTGAATCATGTGAGTCTGAGGATTTCTGCCACCTTTTGTGTTTCTGTGGTAGGAAGGAATATGCAGTACAGCTTTAACACAGAAGAAAACTTCTAAAGTCTTATACTGTGTGGTCTCTTTATATGAATATGTGAACAGAGTGGATTCCTGCTTTTTCTTTTGCTTTACTGTGCATAATTCATCAAAGGGTTTTTTTCTGTTTGCAGGGATGACTTGTCAAGCTCGGACATCATACACTGAGGATGAAGTTCTTTGGGGTCATCGTTTTTTTCCTGTAATTTCTTTAGAAGAAGGGTTCTTTAAAGTTGATTACTCCCAGTTTCATGCAACATTTGAAGTCCCCACCCCTCCATACAGTGTGAAAGAGCAGGAGGAAATGCTTCTCATGTCCTCCCCTTTAATAGCACCAGCCATAACCAACAGCAAAGAAAGACATAATTCGGTGGAGTGCTTAGACGGACTAGATGACATTAGCACAAAACTTCCAACAAAGCTGCAGAAAATTACTGGGAGAGAAGACTTTCCCAAAAAACTCCTGAGGATGAGTTCTACAACTTCAGAAAAAGCCTATAGTTTGGGTGATTTGCCCATGAAACTCCAACGAATAAGCTCAGTTCCTGGCAACTCTGAAGAAAAACTGGTATCTAAAACCACCAAGATGTTGTCTGATCCCATGAGCCAGTCTGTGGCAGATTTGCCACCAAAGCTTCAAAAAATGGCTGGAGGACCTGCCAGGATGGAAGGAAATCTTCCAGCCAAACTAAGGAAAATGAACTCCGACCGCTTCACATAGCAAACACCTCCTTAGGCATTCTTTAAGGTTTTGATTTAGTATTAGTCCAATATTTGGCTTACAAGATAATCCTCCCTAGGAAATCAGAGAGGTCTATCCCAGTCCAGCAAGTGTATTTGAGAACTCTTCAATCCAGTGTTGTTACTGTGCAGAACATGCGTTATGAAGGGAGGCCATCATAAGGAAGTTATTAGTAGGCATGTATTATCACATCAAGCATGCAATAATGTGCAAATTTTGCATTTAGTTTTATGGCATGATTTATATATGGCATATTTATATTGAATATTCTGAAAAAATATATATAAATATATATTTGAAGAGGAGATATTCTCCCCAAAGTTTCTAATATATGTATTAAGCCAAACATGAGTGGATAGCTTTCAGGGCACTAAAATTATATACATATATACATACACACATATAAACACACATGCACACATACACATGACATACCCATACAAACATATATATCTAATAAAAATTGTGATGTTTTGTTCAAATTTGTATTTCTTGTGCATGTTTACTTTATTAGACTAGGAAGGCTGCTGGCATTGATTATGAATACCAAATACTTTAGCCTTAAATTATTTGTTATTTAAAAATCTGATTTAATGTTTTCTGCTGTTAAGGTCATGGAATCTTTCAACTGTACTTAATCATAAAAGATTTCTCAGAAGTTTATGGGGTTCATGGCACCACAGAGACATCATTATTATGTATTTAATTTGTAAATTTAGAGTACCAATACATGGTACACACCGTTGAACTTTTCTTATGATTTTTAGAAGTCACTGGAACTGGGGTTGGGTAAATAAAAGTTTATTAATTCATCAGTTAGTCTTTTCTTAGACTAACTAATACCTTTAAGTTGGATTTGTACACAGTCTAATAAAAGTATGAGCTCTGGACAAATGCTGAATCATTGGAATAGTCAGTAGCCAGGTTATATTTGAATATGTCAGAGTTTGTGTGAACTTTGCAGGGTAACGGTCCCTGTTTCAAAATGAGTTGACTGCAAATGTTTTCTTCTTTTTGTGGGACTTTTGTCATCCATCAAAAACCTCGTAGATCTTTCAGGAGATATGACAGCACAAAGAAGCAGATGAAATACTCATGCTAAAATCGTGTATGTCTAACAGAGAATTTTTTTTTTTTTTGCTGTTTTCTTGTGTATGCCATTTGTTGTGAAAGGACAGGCTTTTTCCTTATCTGGAAAGCATATCCCAGGCCTGGCAATCATAATTTAGCACAGACCTGAGGAAATTAAAATCAAATGAATTGATAATGTTTGTACACTCAGGATTTTTCAGTTTTGTTTTGGTGTTGAACAATTCTTTATTGATGCCTTGGATCTCTGGCCTCCACAATAAGTTTAGTAGTACGATTTTTCAACTCCTAACATCTTGCTGGAATCAAACTTGATCAGTAGTACACTTTTAACACAGGGTTTAGGGTGAGAAGATTTTTTTTTTTTTTGAAAATGCAGAAGTACTTCTTGGCATAATAGCATAGGTTTTGCTATATAATTTCTTTGGGAAATTTCTTTGGGGTTTTCAATCCAAATTGGCCCCGAATTTACTCATGTCTCATTAATATGTAAATCACTGATGGATGGCTTGAGCACACAGCATTCCTTACAGTTTAGTGATCCTGCGATAATTTTATTAGAGGCAAATTATTGCATAAACAGTATATCATCCACTATATCTTATGGCTACCTCTGTATCAACCAAATTCTGTAGGTGCAAACATATACCAGGGAATGATTACTGGAAAAATGATCAACTCTAGCATCCATCCACTGTGAATAGAGCAATTGCCCTTCCCCTTGATCACTAAATGTTCTTATTTGCCAGATGAAGATGATATTAGCAGAAAGAAAAAGGGGACCAGTGGGTATGGAATATTTAGCAGTGGAGGAAGCTGCATAGATCATTTAGTCCAACACCTTAAAACTATACAGAGCCATAATAGTCTTTGGAGAGTCATTTTAATTTGTTTTTGGTATTGTGAAGAAGAACCAAAAACAAACTCTCTGGATTTATTCATTTAACAAAAATTGTTGCATGCCTTCTTTGTCCTAGGCATTGTATTTTTTCTTTTCTTTTTTTTAGGTTTAGTTCCTGGGAATTTAGATATGTATGCCGCATGAGCAGGAGAATGTGGAGGAGACAGAAGAAAAAGAGAGAGAGAGAGAGAGAGAGAGAGAGAGAGAGAGAGAGAGAGAGAGAGAGAGAGAGAGAAAGAGATAGTATCTAGTAGTCAACATTTCAAGTATAAGAATGAACACAGGGTAGATACAGAAATGGCTGGGGGTTGATGAGCACACAGAGGAGACACGTAGGGAGTTGATTAACAATAGACTTGGGACCTGGATGACAAGAAAGAGCCAGTGTGGCCATAATCAATCAATTCAAAAGAATAGGACACTTTGACCTTTTCCGCACACGTGTGGGAACAGTATGATTTCTGCATGTACTTGCAGTTTACTCCCGATTTCTAGGTTGAACTTAGGATCCAGTCTGCCCAGGAAACTTGCAGTTTATACTTGTTGTACTTGTGTAATTATTAGTAGCCCTCTCTTTAATTCCTATTATGTCCTGGTTTGGATGATATATGGTAAAGTTTCGTTGATGCTAACAAAATTATCGAGTCTAATATATTTGGAAAAAAATAAAGAATTGCTTTACTTCTCCTTTTCTTGATTTTCTTTTCTTTCACACACTGTTTTGGGAAGACTCACTCCAATATCACTTCTTTTAGCCTCAAGGAATTCTTAGAAAAGAAGTTGGATCTGTACATGTCATGTCTCTTAGGTTCAAAACTCACGCATTTTATTGAAAGCATAACATACAAAGTAAACCTAACTATTTCCACTTAAAGAAGTTTTTGAAGAGCTAAAAATCAAAAGAACTAAAAGTTAATTTAGGTCAATATGCTTTCCAGATCACCAGGTTAGTGGTTATTGGGGAAGAAATACCATACCGAATAACTGGACACGAATGTGTTCCTAGCATTTTACAGCATAGCTTTGGTTATAGTAAAAGATATCATTCTATTTATCAAAATGTTAATAAAACAACTATTTTGATAATGCTTATCTTCATGTTAAGTACATATTCATTGCAGCAACACATGAATATACTTTGTAATAGATGTTAAATGAGCTGGAGGATATTTTATCATCAATTATGTTTAAATCTTATGATATTTTAATATCATTTATATATGACTTAACATTTTATCCAAAGAGTTCTGTTACTCAAGTACTGAAAAGCCCTGTTGTCTGGAAGGGAAGGATTTATTCTAATGCATGATTTTTTCTGGAGGTATAATTATGGTACAGCGGACATCTATTTGTATCAAGAACATTTCTGTTATTTCTCACTATGAAGAAAGTTCAGTTAAACTGCACTGTCTGTCTGTGCATTCCATTTTACAATTTATACTTGAATTACATTTTGCATATTAAATTAGTATGAAACTTATTGTATTTTATAACATCCAATCTTTAAATATTTCAATGTACAGGGTTATTTGTGTTACAAATGTATAAACTCCTGCATTCAGTACAGAGAGTCTAATTAAAACACACAGTAAAACTTTGGAGAACCACTGAGCTTAGTTTTCAAAGCCTCATCATCATTTCTTCACTTTCCTACAGTGAACCACACACCTTCATAGAACTTATGACTTTTAGTTCCTAAAAGACAGTGATTTGATTCTCTATAAGAGCTTGCTTATAAATTACTTTCATGGAGTCTCTTTATTGATGAGCTGTTTCAGCAACATGAAGCCTCTACTTACTAATGCTGATTTCTCAAGACCTGATTCCTTGGAGGAAGCTTCAAGAACAGTTTGTCCCATACTAACTGTTTTTAAAAATGGTGGTAAGTAAATCAGGAAAAGTGCAGTTTTGTTCAAATAAATAATGTTTTAATGTATGTCCACTTGGTTCACCTGAAAATGTTCCATGTGTCATCAGGCTATTAAATGTGTCATTAGATTACAGCTATGTTTTTCCCTTGATATGTACTGCTTCCTGCTCCTGGGATCATCACAGAATTAATTTTATCAAAAAATTAAAATTAGAAAGCTAAATTACAGGGCAAGAGAGATTTCTGAGTAATTATGAGAGTTTACTGACCATGCAGAGAAGATCTAGTATTGGTTTTCAGCACCCATATCAGGGTCTTACTACTGCCTATAACACAAATATCAGGAGATCTTCATTGGGTTTTTTTTCTTTGCTGTTATATGACACCATGAACAAAGTCTCTGTCTACTCTTGCAAGACTCTCAAAAGTTGCTTGCGTCCTTCTCCCATTTCTCAGGTAATAATATATCCTTCTGAGGTCTTTGATGTAGTTGAAAACTAGGTAGTTATAATTTTCCTTAGTTATGATAAAAGATAAGTTAGGTATGAAACCTTAGAGTTACAAATATAGGATAGATAGAATATCTTTTTTAATTTTGCCAAATATGAATAAACTAGTTATTATAAATAGACTAGATACTGTAACTGTAATTCTTGCTTGATAATTGTTTTGCTATCTGCAATTTTACTATGTGAAAGTTAAAACCTTCCTTTTTGAAAAAAGAAAAGGGGAAGTGCTGTGGGATGTTTTGTATGTTAAAAATTTTGCTCTGATTGGTTAATAAATAAAACGCTGATTGGCCAATAGCCAGGCAGGAAGTATAGGTGGGACAAGGAGAGAAGAGAATTCTGGTAACAGGAAGGCTGAGTCAGGAGAGACGCTGCCAGCTGCCACCATGACAAGCAACATGTGAAGATGCTGGTAAGCCACGAGACACGTGACAAGATACAGATTTATAGAAATAGGTTAATTTAAGATATAGGAACTATATAACAAGAAGCCTGAGCCATTAGGCCAAACAGTTTAAGTAATATAAAAAAAGAAAGAAAGAAACTAAAGTATAAAATGAAGTATTTAATTTGGGCTTATGGTTTCAGTGGGTTAGCATCCATGATGGCAGAGCACAGGCGTGTCGACAGGAACAGCTGAGAGCTTACATCTTGAACTGCAAGTATGCAAGACACATACAGAGAGAGACAGAGACTGGGAAAGTTGCTGTGAGCCTTTTGAAACCCCTGAGCTCAATCCCTAGTGGCAAACCTCTTCCAACAAGGCCATACTTTCTAATCCTTCCTAAACAGTTCCACTATGTGGAGACCAAATATTTAAACAAATTTTCTTATGGGGGCTATTCTCCTTCAAACCACCACATTCCATTAGGTTTGTGGGCATATCATAATGCAAAATGCATTTTATCTAACTTCAAAGATTCCCACAGTTCTTTAAAGCCTCAACAAGGTTTAAAAGCCTAAAATTCAAAGTCTAAACTCTTCTGAGACTCATGGAAATCTCTCAGTTTTAATTCCTTGTAAAAATAAAAACATTAAATTACTAAATTCCAATATAACATGGCATAGAACACACCATTTCTGAAAGAAGGGATGGGAACATAATAAGAAAATGCTGAATCTAAGCAAGACCCAAACCAGCCTGGCAAATCCCGAATCCTGTAGTTCCCTGTCTGATGTGAAAGGGCTTTGATGGTCTGCCTTTCTAGGCTTTCTGCCTGCAACATTCTTCTCTCTCTAGGAATGGTTCCACTCCTCATATACAGCTCTCCTTGGCCGAGGTTCATGGCTTTGACATCTCTAGCATCTTTCCCAGCTTCAGTTAATGGCCTCTCAGGTTATCCGGGACTCCCCTATCACACGTCTGGTCTCAGTGGATTTCCTTCACCATAGAGGAAGATTCCAGACGTCCTTTATTCATGTATCATTTATTAATCTAAAACCATAACCACATGGGTGACACTTTCAAGTTTGACTACCAACTTGAGGTGAATCACTTTGGCAATCTTCAACCACATTCAAATCAGTTTTGACTTGTTGTTACTTTTCAGGAGCAGAAAATTCCTCAGTTCTCTCCTTTCTATGGTTTAGAAGCTTACCTGGGTGGCTGTTTCCCTCGAAGTACTCCTCCATTTATTCCATTGTAGATCATGACTTACTTTGATCTTTTCATCTGAGCACAAGCCTTGGCTCCAACATTAAATTCCCTGGTGCTATTTTTCCCCTCAAACTGTACACTTTGCATTTTTTTTTGTTTCACATGGTTTTGTTTTTTTCATTGTAGACATGTCCAAAAATGATTACTAATAGCCACACAGAAGAATCAATATTAGGCTGTCTTGTAATCACTTTTACCATATAAATTAGTTTCTTACTTTTCAATTTAGTCTCAGGTACATTCTTAGGACACTGATGAAGCCTTATTCTTTGCCAGAGCATTACAAGAATGCCTCTAGTCTATTTGCTAATATTGTTTCCCTCTGAAACTCTTTGAGTGGGGCCTCCAGAGTACATACTGCCCTCAGCCCTATTATCTTCCAAACTACTACAAGGATGGCCAGTTTAACCCTGCTCACAGTACTCAAGTGCTTTCCTAGTACAAAGTTCCAAATCTTCCACACTCCTCGAACAAGCTGCATGGTCAGACCTGTCAAAGAAATACAGGACTTGCCGGTACCAGCTTTGGTCTTAGTTACTTTTCTATGGATATTATAAGAAACTGTGACAAGGACAATTCCTAAAAGGACATGTTTGAGTACGGTTTATGGTTTCAAAGGGTTAGAGTCTATGAATGTGGAATGCAGGCATGTTGGTCCAAACAGCTGAGAGCTTACGTATTTTTGTAGGTTTTATTTTTGTTGTTGTTTTCAAATCCAAAGCAACATTCCCCCTCCCTTCCCTCTTCTCAATTCCTCTCCCCCATCTCCCATCTACCCCTCCACCATCCATTTTCTCTTCAGATACAGGTGGACCTCCCATGGACATGAGCCAGCCAAAGTATATCTAGTTGCAGTGAAACTAGGCTCCTCTTCTATTAAGGAGGGATGAGGTAATGCAGTGGGAAGAATGGGCCCCCCAAAAAAGGCATCAGAATCAAAGACATCCCCTGTGTTAGGAGTCTTACAAGAAGACCACATCACATAACTATAACATGTATGCAGAGAGCCTAGGTCAGTTCCATGCAGGCTCCCTAGTTGTTAGTTCAATCTCTGTGAGTCCCTTAGGAAGGCCAGGTTAGTTGGTTCTGTGGGTTTTCTTGTGGTGTCCTTAACCTCTCTGGCTCCTACCTTCCTTTCTCCCCCTCCTCAGCAGTATTCCCAGAGCTCTACCTAATGTTTGGCTGTGGGTCTCTGCATCTGCTCCCATTAGTTGTTGGATGAAGCCTCTCTGATGACAGTTGGACTAGACACCAATCTACACTTTATGAAAATAGCAGAATATCATTAGGAATCATTTCATTTCCTTTTCTTGCTATTTGTGTTTAGTTCTATCCTAGGTCTCTGGGGTATCTTTCCTTGAAATGGAATCTGGGGTCATCTTCGGGTAGAGCTAGAAACCTAGATCAATGAAAACTCCCAGGAATCAATGAGGGTGACCCTAGCTAAGATTACTAGCTATGGGGCATACAGAGTCCGGATCAGTCATCCCCTGTAACCAGACAAGAATTCCAGTGGAGGGATTGGGACACCAATCCCACCACAAACCCGTCAACCTACAATTTTTCCTGCCTACAAGATGTACTGGGATAAAGATGGTACAAAAATTTTGGGAGTGGCCAATTAATGACTGCCCAGCTGGAGACTTATACC